TACAGGCAGCACATAAAAGACAATTGGCAGGGTCATCYCATCCTGTGCTGATTTTGTCAGGAACACAAAGGCTCTTTGTGTTCTGAGATATCTCCCACAGCAAACCACAACTTGGAGCTTTACCCACCATGAGCTTAGGAMGTGTTTTTGTGTACAGGGCAGAGCTGCTCCTGTGCCAGCTACACCTCACTAAAAACTGCTCCTAATCTCTTTGCTGCTGGCACCATAAAAAAAAAAACAAAGGCTCTCAACTAACGCCCTGACCTAATTATTTTAGTGCAGATTTGCAGGGGTTCTTTAGCAAAGAAAAACAGCCAGAAATAACTGTTAGGGTGGCTTTTCTTTCCAAGTGGRGAGGGAGGGGTGGCAGGGACCAAACACTCCCAAGGTCTCTGCTCTCCACAGGATCCCCCCCAGTGCTCCCAGTTTCCCCTGAGAACCCTGACTGGTTTTTGGAGTCACAGCTGGCTGTAGGAGAGCTGCTTCCCCTGCCCTCCCAAACCTCCTGGCTCCATATTTTCAGTGCTCAATAGAGAATCCCAAACTGGTTTGGGGTGGAAAGGACTCAAATCCCATCCCATCCCACGCCTGCCATGGCAGGGACACCTCTGCTGTCCCAAACCCCATCCAGCCTGGCCTTGGCTGTGCCAGGATCCATTCCCAGAGTTCTGGGGCTGAGCTGGAGTGAAGGAAAGGAGCCCAGGGAGGTACCAGAACACCCCAACAGTGCTGTGTCCCAAAAGGATCCCTCCAGCAGGAGCAGGAATATCACACACTCACAGACACGGAGCTGTCCCACCCTCTGCTCCTCATCCTCAGACCCAAAAAAGAGAGCAAAGGGAAGAAATGCAGGGAAAAGGAGGTTCTTCCCACCAGACCCAGCTGCAGATTGGATCAGGAGATGTTTCCATGCCAAGGAACCACAGCAGGACGGTGCCCAGGCTGTCCATAGGGCACAGATCCTGCAGAGAGCTGTGAGCACAGCCAGAGCTTTCCACTGCTCTGGGAAGGGCAGAGGATGACCCAGAGCATTCCCTGCTTTGTTCCACCAGGAAGTGAAACAAATTTGGGTTCCCAGGAGTGATTTCCCAGTTCCCACTTTCAGGAGTGTCCATGCAGTGACCAATATTCCCATAAAGGAATATTCCCAATATTCCCATAAGGAACTTGCAGAAGCAATCCCAGGAACAAACCACGTTCAGTCTCTGCCAGCTGGGGAAGGTTTTGAAGCTCTGACTGACACCCAGTTTGAGTTATTCTCTTGTAAAACTTCAGAGCTGTGACAAACTCTAAACCAGGGAGAAAAGTGCATTTTGGGCAAATTTCCTCCTGATATTTTCTTTCCTGGCCAATAAAGAAAGGAAAGCAACAGAGCCACAGCGGGGTGGGGTGGTTTTTAGCTGATCCTGTCACTCTCCAAACCCAACACKGATCAGCCCAGTCATGACCTTGGCACCACCAAAAGCTTTGTTGGAAGTTGGTATTAACTCATTCCCAGCCTTCCAGGGACATGAGACAAACTGCAAACCCACTGTTGTTCCCTGGGAGCTGGGATCCATCCCAAAAATCCAACACTTTGTGCTCTCCCAACAGCTGAGCTTTCTCCTTTCACAGCAATTTTCATTTGCTACAGGTTATACAAGATCTACAGTTTTTACTTTTCAACTAATTTCACCAAAAACAATTTTACTTTTGATTTGAGAAATCTTTTCTACATCAGCTTGCCATTCAGTGAGTGACTGTCAGACAGAAAGAAGGATACTGAGGATGTTTTGGATCTGAAATTTTTAAGGCTGAATATTAGTTTTTCTGTTATATCCAGAGATAGAAGCTGCTGGGAAAGCACCAAGAACACAGCACCAACAAAACTGTGTTATCTCAGCAGTGGCTGTTAATTAAACAGCAGTCAGACACAAAATTAACAACTTTGGGGGAAAAAAAACTTCAGCAAATTCAACAAAAATCAGCTTTTTTCACCTGAAGTAGCAGAGGTGAAATCGTTATCTGTTACCTATCCAGACACAGCCATTCAATCTTCAATATTCTGTCAAATGCAATAATTACTGAGCTCATCAGRAATCAAAGATAAATTAAATACACAGAGTATTTTCTACAGGTGGGTTTTTAAAACAGAGTTTTGATCTCCTCTCAACCTCTTTCCCATATTCAATATTCAGTGGTATTTCTCACATACAGAGAAATTTCGCTGTGATTTTAAACTATTTTTCTGATTTTTTTTTCTTTGATTTTTCTCTCATCTCCAGCAAAGGTACTTTATACTTTTAACAGAAATAATTTCATTTAAGCAACAATTAATTCTTTTAATTAAGGCTTGAACAAAAGAGATGAGACTGCTTTCCATGARCTATTTATGCAGAATGGGCAGAAAATGAAGCTGCACTCTGCCTAAAACAGGAATTCCAGCTCATGGAAGAAATCTCCACGAGCCAGGATGGCCATCCCAGGGATTGATAACCCAACTGCCACAATTTAATGGAAAATTCCTTATTTTGTTGTGTGATGTGGGATTCACCCGGGGCATGGATGGGTTCCCACTGTGTCTCCTTCAGGCAGGGAGGGTTCAGCTGAATCTGAGAGGAAAATGTGGTCAATGCCAGAAAATTCCCTGTTGTGAGGGAGCTGCTCCCTGGGCACTGCCCGTGAAATCAAATCAGCACCCACCCAGACACTTAAACAAGCAGCAGCTCCAGGATTTGCCCTCCCGGTGAATTCCAGAGGCTGTGGTGCTGATTCACTGCCCAAACAGCCCTCAGCAGCCTGAGCTTCACTCCCCACATCCCAAAAACCCTCTCAGGACATTCCCACAGCAGCTGCTCCTCCGTTTGCCGATTCCCCCAGGAGCAGTTCCTGGGATCAGCAGGATTTCGGGCTGCCCTGCCAGGAGCAGAGACAGGATTTGCACATTTTTGCTTCATTTTGCACATTTTGGCTTCTGAGGCAGTTCAGGGYTCATTTTCACAGCAAGCTCAGCCCCTGGGGATGAGGAACCAAAGCTGAGTTTGGAGAAAGGGACTGACCAGAAAATGAGGAAAAAGAGCAGGGACAGATTAAAAACATCCTGGAGAGAACAATCCCATCTGCACCCTCCAGCTTTCCCTGTAAGCATCAATAATGTGCAGGAAAGAACTATTTTCCTGTTATTCTAAACCCCTAAATGCCCAGAGATTCCCCTTTCTTGCCTGCACAAAAAGGGCCAAGAGTCATTTCATGTTAAATTTGGAATGGAAGACAATCCCACAGAGTCCACCCAGACTCCTGATTGAACTCCAGATCCACCCCATTGCAGAGCTGCTCATCTCCCTCACTCACACTGAGCCTCATCTCAACAACTGCAAAATTATGCAGCTCAAAACCCCCAAAGCTGGACATCAACAAAATCTATCACGGCTTTTGCACTCCGAACATTTTGGAAAGACCTTGAATGAAATGAAAGATCTGTCTTTAACGGGCGGTATGAAAGCAGGAAAAAAAAAAAAAAAAAAAAAAAAAAAAAAAAACCACAGTAAAGAAGAATTAACGGGACATGAAGAGCAGTGGGGAAAACACGATGAAGAGCTGGGGAAAGGGGAAAGAGTGTGAAAACAGAGCACAAACTCGTGTAAGTTCTGCAGCACGGAGTGAAGGCACCGAGCACCGGGAGCGGGCATCCCTCCCTCCCTCCCTCCATCCCCGCTCCGTCCGTGCGCCCTGCCCGGAGCGGGGCGGGCACAGGCACAGGCGGCTCCTCCCGCCCCTAAGCCCTGATAAATCCGCTCGGGACCGCGGCAGCGCCAGCCCGGAGGGGGCCGGAGCGGGGCCGGAGCCCGGGGCATTGCCAGCCCGGAGAGGGGCCGGTGCCCGGAGCCCAGAGCGGGGCCGGGGCAGCGTCAGCCCGGAGCGGGGCCGGAGCCGGTGCCCGGGGCAGCGCCGGGGCATTGCCAGCCGGAGCCCGGAGCCCAGAGCCGGGCCGGGGCAGCGCCAGCCCGGAGCGGGGCCGGAACCGGTGCCCGGAGCTCGAAGCAGCGCCGGTACCGGTGCCCGAAGCAGAGCCGGTACCGGTGCCCGGAGCAGAGCCGGTGCCCGGAGCTCGAAGCAGAGCCGATACCGGTGCCCGGAGC